ACACCCGGCCGCCCCCCTTTCCGCTGGTCACCTACAACCCTCCATACTTGCTGTCCCTACGATTATGCACCTTCCCTTCACTGTTATCAGCATTATTTTGCTGTCGCCACCCCCGCTAGCTATCCCGACCCACCTAGCCGGCCTCCAACACCCTTAAAATACACTGGAGAAATGTCTGCTTGTGTCATTTTATGTTTTGATGTTATTTTCTGTTTGTTTCATTTCGAAAACCTATTTTAATATTAATATAAATTTGTTTTTGTGTTGCCACAGTTTTTCCGACTAGTTCCAGTATCATTTGGTATCAAAGCTAGCCTAACCCCAATCCTATCTTAGGGTTTTCTAGCATCCACCTTACCCCTCCACCAAAATTTTTCATTCCTACCCTCAACAACCCCTTCTGATTTCCCCAAACCTTGTCTCCACCAAAATTTTTCTTCCTATGCCTAAACCTAGCCATGCCCCATAGGAGATACATACCCGAGTCGAACCGAGAATAGATAAGGCGGGAGCTTCGTTGTCTCCAACAGAGACTTACGGAGATTGAAGAGTTAACACAGGAGGAAGTTACCTTCGGCTTGAATCAAGAGAGTCGAAGGGGAGAAGGAAATGATGATCTGAATCCCTTCCATGGGGAGACTTTTATTCTTTACCCTATCTCCAATCCCTTTGGTCTTCTTATTCAGTTTTAGAATCTTAAAATATTAAACTTCTAGTTGTGACATTCTTATTAGAAGTTTTGAAGTTTTCCTCCTCCACATTAGCTTGAATTTTTTTAGTAAAACCTCTTAGTAAAGTAATGTAAGGGAAAGATGACTAATTGATCGAGAAGCAATGACATCTCTCGAAGATCTATAGTTCTTAGGTTCATTCATTTAGTGGTTCAATTCGGTGAAGTTTAAAATTATGCAATTAGGTATTAAGGCATTTTTCTTCATGTTGCAGGGCGTAACCTCAAGATAATTTGAGGTGTAAACCTTGAGATATTTGAGGTGTAAATTGTGCAAAGCGAAAAGTATTTTATTAAATTCAAAACATGTAGTGAGAAGTAATTTATTAACATGCTAAAATGTAATATATTAACATCTTAATATGATAAAAATAATAAATTATTCAAAGAAAAAAATTACATGTTAACATTCAAATATTAAATCATAAAATAAGAAGAGTTATACAAATATCATGATAAGAAATAATAACATAATAATTTAAAATAAGTTTGATACAATTAATTTCTCACACTCTAATATCACCTATCAAGAAAGAAGATAACAAACCACTACGGTTAGAATTTCTAAATTTGAAAGTCTCGTCACACTTGTCATTTAGTGAGCCTTCACTAGAATCATCAACTTAACAATGTAATTTCTCCCTTCATCTCATCCCTAATTGTTGGCACTGTTTTGGAGTGATTAATGAAGAATGTAGAATAATATTAGATTTTGCTTTAGCTTATGATTTTGTTATTAGTATTATTTTATTTAAGAAAAGAGATGAGCATATTATTACTTATAAGAATCAATCTAATAAAACACAAATTGATTATTTTTTTATTAGAAAAAGATATCATTGAAAATATAAAGATTATAAGGTCATTGTAAGTGAAAATTTAATTTATCAACATTGATTATTAGTTTTAGATTTTAAGATGATGAGTTGTAAGATAAAAAATGCAATGAAATATTGTCTTAGGATTAAATGAGGGCTCCTAAAAGATACAAATAAAATTATTTGTATGAGTAAACTTCAATATTTCAATAATTAGGACGTTCATGAAGAAATCAATTTTATGTGGGATAAAATAACAAGCATTATTAAATAAATGACAAAATATGTACTTGGAGAATCAAAAAGAAAATTTGTTATAAATAAAAATAGTTGATGACGAAATATTAATGTGTATGAAAAGAGAAATTATAAGAAGCTATGTTGTAATAATTGGTTTAAATATAAAAGCTTAGTGAATTGGGAAAAATATATGGTGGCCCATAGAAAGTCTAAGAGCACAATTTGTGACACTAGGAATTCTACTTTTATTGATCTTTATAATAGATTAAATTCTAAAGATGATGAAAAATATATGTATAAATTAGCCAAACAAAGAGAATAAAATTAAAGATTTAATTCAAGTAAAATGTATTAAAAATGAAAATAAAAAATTATTTTCGTTGAGGAAGATATTTAACATAAGGTGGGTGAGCTATTTTGATAATTTTTTTAATGAATTTTCTGAAAGTACGATCGACCTTAGTGATCTTAATATTGTTCATAATAATATTTTTATTTTATTTTAACCATCACATCAATAAAAGGAAAGTTGACGAGGCTTTAAAAAAAACCGAAGGTGGAAAATCAATAGGATCTAATGATATCCCTATTGAAGTTTGAA